GCCGCGATGTGCGTTCATGAAATTTGGCGGCTGGGATTAATCCGAACAATTCCTCAGAGCACTCCCCATGGTAGATGCGAAAGAAAATGCAAAGAGATGCAACATCTCTTCGCAGTGCCAATGAATCGAGCCGATCGGAAAGGGCTCGGTCGTCGACGATTCGAGCCGCTCTGCGCTGGATGCGGTCAAGTGGAAGGAGCTGGCACTGGGGAGCCCCTGCCCAGAGATGGGAACAGTATTCCATGTGAGGCCGAACCTGCGCCTTGTAAAGTTGCAGGCGGTGTGCCGGCATGAAATACTGTCCCGCTCTGCTGAGCACGCCAAGCTTTTTAGAGGCCAATTTGGCCTTCTCTTCCAAGTGACCACGAAACTGCACGTCACTCGATATGTCGACTCCGAGGATACCGATACTGGCTGAGGCAAGAAGGGGAGTGCCTTGAAACTGAGGAGATACGACAAAGGGGTTCTTTTTAGCGGTAAACGCGCAAACTTGTGTCTTCTGAGGATTAAAATGGACTAGATTTAGTCGCCCCCAATCCGAGACTTAATCATCATCAATCAATGTCAACTTAAAATGAAGTACTGAATACCATATTTTAACCATTTTCAAGATAATAGTTATTTCACGATTACCAGAGACAATGCGTACTTGTCAATATATATTTGCAATTACAGCCCAGAATACAAACGTAGAAAGAATTGTTTCTATTATTGGGGCTCAATGGTCGAATGAAAGAAACCGTCGAACGGCGTCTTCAGTTCGAGCTATACTTTTAATTCAATATACCTAATTTGTAGAGTTTAACATGTGGGGCATTATATAAATCAATACTTAAAGAAAAAACCATACTTAAAAAGGTTACACATATTAAATACGATAAAACTGTTTAAGTACCTACTTGGATAAATAGGTTTTGATTTTAATTGTGCAATTATTAATTAAGAAGAAGAAGATTATTATTAGTTTAACTTTTTATTAAAGAGATCTTTAAAATGTAAGCTGTATTGTATTGAAAATTCTAAAAATCAGAGATTTGCAAAATCCAGCCGCAATCCTGAGAAGAGTCCAAAAATCCTGAGATCTCAAGGCAAATCCTGAGATATGGTAACCTTACTCACGGGTGACAATGCATCTGCATTTTGATTTTTATTGAGGATGATGTCTATGGGTCACAGCAACCACTTACCATCAGGTGGACTGTGTGATTGTTTATCACCCTAGCCTATAAAAAAGGTGATTTTATAAGTATTGTTTTAGAAAATTTGCCATGTAACACTAGCAATAAAACAACAGATATGCAAGCCCTTGATTACTTTTTTATAATTGCCTGTAATGTTTCACATAAATTTTTATTAATATTGCACATAATAACTAAAATTCAAAATTTAAAAAATCCCCAAAAATGATCTTGAAATTGCTGAAACGATTTTGATAAAACTTGCCTAAGAACCACTGCTAAAAAACCAGCTTTTAAATAGAAAGCCACACCCAAAACAGTTCACCCATTTAAGAGCTACAATGCCACACACTCAGACAGACAGGCAGACACACACATAGCATTTTAACTTATAACACCCCTATTTTTGCGTCGGGTGTTAATAAAAATGGGCAAACTGTAAAGTGGATTTATAACTGCTGCTTGGCAAAAACAGAAAAAGAGTGGTGCATGCATTTTATCTATTGAAATTTGGAGAATTCCCTTACTGGCAGACATTACTATTAAGATTTTACCAGAATCACTACAATGGGTAGATGAGTGAGAGAAGGGAGAGCTGATACTCTTGTAATAAGTAATGCTGCTACCCATTACTAGTGAATTTTTGATCAAGTGTATTCAAATGGGTTTTCCGCCAATACTCTCATGTCAGTTGCCAGAGCTTCATCCATTAATCAGCATCGTGTAACATGAGTCAGCATTTGGGAGCAAACGTTGCATGTTTCTTCTTACAACTTTTTATTTTTTATATTTTATGTTATTGGTAAGTGAAAGGGAAAGATATACCTACAAATTTTCTTATCAGAGTTGTCATCATCATCATCATCACCATTACAGCACTTCACAAGTCCACTGCTGAACATAGGCGTCCCCCAAGGAATGCTTGTATACCCTCTTTTAATTATATTAAGCATAATTTGCCACACAATAAAATTATGCAAAGCTTTCTGAAAGCTTATTGCGTTATTTACTATTATACTAGTAGGGTCGTTGCGCCGGTAAGCCGACCGGGGCTAGTTTTCGGCCTTTGGCACCAGGTGATGCAGTAAATTTGATTTAATAATGATTTTAATAAATATTATCGTCCAAAATTAAGATTAATGCATTTGTAAATAGTTGCATTATATATTGCAACATTACTTCATCGTGTAAACACAACACGCGATTTATAATAAATAGTTCAGTTTGACGCCGGCACAGAAGCTGTCAAAAAGTGTAAGATCGAGCAAACAAAATAGTGGTACGCGTTTCACTCAAAAGTAAATTTTGCGCTGTATTTACAATGATTATTTAATATTGTGCTTATATTTCACTCTATAAATAACTTAATTTTAAAATTTCACATAGATTACTATAATATTTTATTGTAAAAGTTAATAAATTAGTTGGCCGGAAAGTGACACATAAAATTTTCCTATTATTTGGTTATCGGCCATGTGGCCGGAAAGTAGCCAAGTTTAGCCTAAATACTTTGTCTCTTTGATTTATTTGGTTACCTACTATTAGTCTTTTTTCTTATTTATAATGAATTGTATCCTTGCGAAGACTATAGCTTTCAGTTTTCGGCCACCAAATACTGCAATTTGAATGGTTATTGATGAAACTAAAATACCTATTTTAGTTGTGGCCGAAAACTAAATTATTATTTAGTTTTCGGCCAACTTAAAATTGTATGAAAGAATATGGAAGCCGAAAATTGAACACTGCTTTGATTGACAGACATTTTATGAAATATTTCATTCACATTACGTTTTAGGAAGAAGATTCAATAAGGCATTATTTTCTTCAGATGGCTCCTCCAAAGAAAAATCCTTCAAAGAAATATAATTAGTAAATGGTTTCAGAAAACGTGGACTTAATGAATTCGATCTCCATGTAGTGGATTACCTGAAATACCCCGGAAAGACTAATTAGTAAAAATTCAGACACCAGAAAAATATATTTCTAAAGAAATAACTAACGCAGACCTAGTTTCCACAAGAGAAGTTTTGAAATATTTAAAATCAAATCTGGCAGAAAAAAAACATGGTGGCGATGTTATAGTAACTATGAATTCATCTACCGATGCATTAGAGTCGTTTATCGATAACAACATTTCAACATTGCATTTGTCAGGAAGTTATTTGGATATCGGTTCCTTAGTATCGTTAGATGGTGTTCTTGTAATCCCAACTCAAATAAGCCTACTAATGACAACAGTACTGACAATGCCAGAAATGGTAATAGATTCCAGTAATGCAATAATAACAACTCAAAGTAGTACAATGGCCACGATGATACCACCACCACTAACACCGATAATAACAAACAACCCCTTTAAAACTTTAGAAAATGTGCTGGTTGATATTCCAATAAAACAGACTAGTACACCTCTACAAACTAGTGAAACATGGACTTCAGTACTATTAAATAAAGAATACAGAGATGGGATAGAAAAAACATTTATTTAAACCGAAACTCGTAAAAAAAGTTTAAAAACGAAAAATCGCAAAATCCAAGAATTTCATAAAGGAAAATGAAAGAGTAAAAGTAAATTGCACCTGGTGTTATGACATTTTAATAAGCGATACAGAAGAAGATATTGAAAAAAATTGGACTTTTGCACCAAATGGATTTGAGATGTATAGATTTTTGTTGGACTAAAATATGAGGCAGCATTCGGGAAATTACAGCACATCTTCTCGTCAGGTATACCTCAAAACGAGACTGTGCGTGTTGCCAGTGATGACCTATGGAACTGAGACGTGGTCCATTGTGTTTGTTTCGACTGTAATTGGCCAGATGAGGAAGCTCAAGGTTGCTCAGCGAGCTATGGAGAGGGCTATGCACGGAGTTTATCTGCGTGATAAACTTAGAAACGAGGTTATCCGTAGTAGATCCAGAGTGACCGACATAGCCCAACGGGTTAGTAAGCTGAAGTGGCAATGGGCCGGCTATATAGCTCGAAAAACTGACAACCAATGTGGAAAAAGCTTCTTGAATGGCGGCCTCGTAACACCAGACGAAGTGTAGGGTGTTCCCCCACTAGATGGACTGACAACCTGGTAAGAAGTCGAAAGGAAGTCGATGGATGCCGGTGGCTCAGGGCTGTGTTTTGTGGCATTCCTTGTGGGAGGCCTACGTTCAGTAGTAGACTTGTGAAGGGATGTAATGGAAAGGCTGATGATGATGAAAATAAGAGAAAGTACAAAAAAAATGAGAAGATTTGATTGCCATATTTAACACAACACGAAAATTTATTATAATTTTACAAAAATTATGTTAAGGTTAAGGCACCTTTTCTATTGTGTCTAATGCAGTGGCCGAAAACTAAAATTCTTGTGGGCCGAAATTGAAAATTTGGGGCCGAAAACTAGCATTTTACATATTTTTCACATCAAAAATTATTATAAAAACGAGATTTTTCTTGTAGCAACAATGAGTTACTATAATGAAAACTACATTATGTAAGCTACAAATTAACATTAACAGCACTAGGCCAGCATAATGGCAATTATTTTTTCTAGTACCTTAAAGTTAACAACTCCACTAAAAGGCCGAAAACCAGCACAATGACCCTACTGTAATAGAATAACATATAATAGAAGAGTTTAAATTATTAATTCCATCAAAATAATAACATTATATTTTGTTAGAACAAATAATATTTTATAATTTAAACAATATTATCATTGTGTATAACATAGCAAAAGTTAATTATTATATTTTAAATAGTCCAAAATTATACGTAATATAAAAAGAATCTTAAAATTTTTAATTTTTTTTTTATTAAAACTTTCTCACCTTCTTTGCAAACTTGGAACAACAGGATCGTGGGCATTTCTTGTCCCGCAACTGACGCTCCTCATCTTGACTGCTTGTAGCTGATTCACTATAAGCTTGCTGAAGTGAGGGTTGGGAAGTCAAGGGCGGTGCTGATGATATTGAAGTTTGGGGTGTAAGTGGTGCACGTGGACTCAAAGGTGTTGGCGGCCCGTTTGCTCTTTCAACATCACCACCAGCACCCTGATCCGTTTGTACTTCTTCACTAGTGATTATAACAGATGGCGCGCGAACTCGTTTCGGATTAAATATTGTAGGCAGGTCTCCGTCCCTTGCCATATTGTACCTTTAAAATCTTTTAGGCATAATGATTACCAAAAATACCGGCAGACTCATCTTTACTTGAAAATCACGATATTTTCAAATTAATACAAGATCTTCGAATTTTTTATTGCATTAACAATATATTTTAATGATTCAATATTAGACAGGTTTTCTTGCATAATTTACTTGGTAAACGCAATTGCACGTTACACACAATATCATTATAATATAAATATTTTTTAACTAATTTATCCATTTTATTTCTTATTACTACACGGTTGCCAATTAATTCTGTTTCAAGATTACTGATTACTGATCCGAAGAACTAAAGTCAAACAACACTGCATAAATTAAACACTACAACACATTTACTACAAGTAGTTCTCGTAGTCATATCAATAAATAATAATTAATTTCGATGTTTGTAATTTGTATTTCAATACAATGCCCGTATTAATAATACCAAAGAGCAATTTTTTTTAATAACTTTGCTTTACGGCTCTGGTATCTAGCCCTTCTGAGCCTGAAGTTACAATATATTATAATTATAGTTCATAGTATACTGCTTCACAATATGTTGATGCGTCACATTGTGCAGCCCTTGGGATATTTTGACGGCAACTTGAGCCAGCAGACAGCTGATGGTTGGCGATGGTATCTCAAGGCGCCTAAGCAGACAGACACCTTATTTTGAGAATCTCTTCACCATCAGAGCACTTGTTTCACAAAATCGCACCACGTTTACATATCAAAGTCCACTTCAAACCATTATTTAAACAATAATACAAGAGCAACCAACCGCCGCCGGTCAAGTTCCCGCCAAAACTCACCAAAGAGCAAAGAGTACCTTATAGATAACCACAGAGTACCTTTGTATAAACCCGTAGAGGGAGTTCTCTTTTTTCGTATAAACCATAGAGACTTCTAAGCGCGCTTGGCGAGCACGCTCGGCAGATTTTCGTGGTGCCGTTCTCACGTTGGCGTGTTTCATTCTACGTTGGTAGCTAGATGATGATGGACGTTAGGGTGATCGTGGCCGCTGTAATATACTTATACTTCACTTTCCTCAGAGTGAACGAAAAAGAAACTACATATACAACAATAATCCAAATTTGTCCTTTTTAGGGTTCCGACCTCTAAAGGAGAAAAGAAACCTTTATGGGATCTACTAGCTGACCCGTGCCCGCTTCGCTGGGGTTTTTTTTTTTCAAAATAAAAAATAGCCTAAAAGAAGCCCCTAAGTTACATTATCCCTGAGCAACATAAACTCAGAGATAATTTATAATAATATTTATCATCAGGTAGGTACTCTGAAATCGCAACTATACGTGTATTATTTAATGCAGTTAGGCAAGTTGTTACTCTGGTTTTATTTTTATGTTGCTCATGTTTGGGGTTCCATATAACTGATTCATTGTGACAATCAATCAGTGAACCTAAATATTTCCTCATTAGTCCATGTCGCCATGTTGAAACAATTTTATTAAGCCGACACTACAGTCTACTCCGACGCGTAACTATGAACTGAACACTCGGCCAACGTGTGATCGCTATTTGCGGCTTGCGCCAAATTTCTTTGATTTGTGCACGGAAAACCGACACTATACGGCTCGTCGGCGAGTGTTAGCCGCAAACGCCAAATATATTCAAAACGGCCCAGTACACGTCGCTCCAGCGCGCTCACCAAGCGCGCTCGGCCAACGTGTACTGGAGCCATTATACATTTTCAAAGTTGATCGAGTGTAGTTTTGCGTTGATTTATTTCCGTAATTTATTGTCTTGCTTCCTGATTATCTTGCAAAATGTATAACAAGTGTTGTGTTCCAACTTGTGCTAGTAGACGAAAGGACTTCCGATTTCATATTATGTTTCCAAAATGTGACTTAGGACCAAAGACGTATTAAAAAGATAGACAGGTTACACACTAACATTATTGCATTTTAAAGTGGCGCAGGTAGGACTATATCTACCTACAGTTTATTTATTATAACACGTATGACACCTATCGTTAGAAAAAGATGAATATACATCATTATTTGCGTATTGATTGCTGCCGAGCACTCATTGGCGCGAGCGCGTGACATACCGATATGGAAAATGACGACACTAGCTAGCGTCAAAGTTTACAATAGCGGTTAGTGTTGAAATAATAAAACCAACTATGAACACAACATTTGTCTTCAAAATATTAATGAGACGTTTTTTTTGTCTCTAACAGTTGCCGTGTAATTTGTGCAACATCTAAAAACACTGCCACGAATAAGTAGAAGATTTACGCGCTGTAGCGATGTAGCTATAGCCGCGGCGCGAGAGCGTGTCCGACTGAATGCAAGTCGGGCAATTACCTGACTTTCGTATTGCCATTTTAGAGCGAGTATGACGTATCTATACTTTTAAAAACATCTTAGGTTAGGACTGAAAAAAGGTTCACAGTGTTAACTGTGAAAGACTGCAAAGCTTTCTTCTTTATTTCCAGAAACTTCGTACCACTTCGTATAATTTGTGTGTCGTGTGTTTTTCAAAGAAAGTCAACACTGCTCACATTTATTGTAAAAAAGGCAGCATTTGGATCACACTTACTGAATACCAGAAGTTGTAGAAAGATACCTTTAGCCTTTAAATACTTACAACAATGGTAAATTTGCGTTCAATTCTTTTTAATAATAATTCTATAAAAATTTTGTAAATATACAGATTATATATGTACAACAATCTATTATATTGCTTATTTAGCATCCATAATTTGTGTTTCTGTTTATCTTTGTATATTACTATCATACAAATACAGCACAATTTAATGACTACACATATATAATGTTTAATTGTTTTAGTATGTCAGAATTAAATACTTTCCCTATGAGTACCTTATAAATATAAACTCAAAATCACTTCTGACCAATGCAGTATATGTATAATACTTCAAGTACCGGTCTTCCACCCGCTTTCAGAAGCTCCGCTGTAATTCCATCCTCGCCTGGGGCCTTGCCGTTTTTAAGGTGCTGGAGAGCCATTCTAATCTCGCTCAGACTGACGTCCGGGATATCATCGGAATAGTGTCTAAGGCTAAGATTCGCTCTTGGATCGTTACTCACACTTGCGTGTGGCTCCGACGATGACGATGACGATACGAGGGCGGCACTGAAAATTTCGGGAATCAAGGAAGTGACACAACATTACTATTTAAAAATGTATTTATTGCTTTTCGAAGTATTCTACGCGAAATTTGACACATTTTTCCATACGATGGAACCAATCATTGAAGCAACCATTCCATTCGGAAGTTGGGGTCTCAAAAATGGCCGTTTTGTAGGCGTCCACAGCTTTTTCATGTGATGAAAATCTCTGTACACGCAATTTATTCTTTATTTTAGGGAAAGTACAGAAATCATTAGGGCTTAGGTCGGGGCTGTACGACGGATGGTCTAATAATTCTATGTTTTCTTGCTCTAAAAACTCTTTTGTTCCGTGTGCGGTGTGAGAACTTGCATTGTCATAATAGAGGATGATGCGGCGGTTGCAGTTCTCTTTACGGAGTTCAGAAACGACCTGTGGCAAACAAATGCTAGCATACCATTCTGCATTAACCGTTCTTTGTCCCTAAAGAGGAAGAGTCGTAACATAGCCGGTTTTGGAGACAAACGTGGCCACCATTTTTTTTTGCAACATTCCGTGAACGAACAATTTTTGTTGGCTTTAACTCATTTTCGAACACCCAATCTCGTGACTGGTTTTTTGTTTCGGGTTCGTTCGCGTATATCCAGGATTCTTCATCTGATACGATGTTGTGTAAAGCATTTGAGGATCCTGCGTGGAATCTTTCGAGAGTTCTGACGCACCAAGTAACGCGAGCCGCTTTTTGCTCTTCACAGAGCGAATGCGATATCCATCGGGAAAACAACTTTTTTACACCTAATTGTTCATGCAAGATTATTTGTATTTGACTCATGCCAATGTCTAAAATTGCCTGAATTTCGCGGTATGTCACATGTCGATCTTCCTCAATCAGCTTACGCACAGCATCAACGTTTTCTTGGGTGACTGCAGTTTTTGGACGACCTTGACGGGGATCATCACTGTGCTTGACACGTCCACGTTGAAATTCAGCAAACCAGCGATAAATTGTGATTTTGGATGGGGCTTCATCACCAAATGCAGAAATCATCCATTCAACACACTGTTTTTGTGTTAAACCACTACGAAAGTCATAATAAATCATCGCTCTTGAATTTTCTCGAGTCAATTCCATTTTCTCAACGACTAAACAAGTTTGACAAAACCTTGTGACAAGACCGAGAATCTTTTTTTAAATAAATAAATGGTATTCGATTTTTAAAACCAAGAACTTTTCAATTTAAAAAAATTTTATATGACAGAAACAGTGGAAATATTCCATTCCCGATACTTTTAGTGCAGCCCTCGTATTAACACCACAGTCACTCACAGAACAAGTACCAATTTTGGAAAAAGATACTTACCAAAAGTAACCACTATTACACTCTAAAATACTACTAAATATCTAGGAGCTTATTTCTAAATTCTATATTTCTTATTTATATAATGCACAAGCATCATATTAGTCTGTGTGGGTAAATACATGAGGTACGTGAGGACGCCAATTGACAAATTTGTAGAACACAAATAAAACCCTCCAAAGCGTATGATAATATTGGTCAGACCTACTATACTCTTTGGCTTGACCACAAACTATAAAAATAATATAATATATACTATATTCAAGGAGTTTATAATATAATATAGGGAGCATAGACATAGTATCTTAATTTTTATTAGTCAATTCTCTATCTACGATAGGGAGTGAGCGCTTGGAACATTTTAACCGTTCCTCATTTTTCTTAGAAAGAGAGGCACCGAGTTTTGTATTTTATCTCCTTCTAACATTGATAAATGTATACACAAAATAGAAACATTACCAACGTTTAGACAGTTATTGACTTAAAGTAATATTTTAGACGTATGCTAGAACGATAATCTTACATTTTTATCGCTAATCATAG